CACGAGAAGATGCAGTTTCTTGTCTCGTCTCGTCTCGCCTTGTCTCGTCTCTATAATCCAATTTGCACGGAAAAAAATACACAGAGGGGCAGAGAGGGGGAGGCTCTCTCGATTCTCGTTTCTCGCGTTCTCGACCGACTTTTCTCGTCTCGTCTCATTTCTGTCATTGTCTCTCGTCTCGTTTGTCTCGTTCTTGACCGGCTCTTCTCGTTTCGTTTCTGGCATTGCCTCGAATGACTCTTCTCGTCTCGTTTGTCTCCTCTCGTCTCGTCTCGCTTCTATAATTGTCTCGAATGTCTCTTCTCGTCTTGTCTCGTCATGTCTCTCGTCTCGTTTCTCTCGATCCCGACCGACTTTTCTCATCTCGTCTCGCTTCTATAATTGTCTCGAATGTCTCTTTTCGTCTCATCTCGTCATGTCTCGTCTCGTTTGTCTCGGCTCGTTTCTCTCGTTTTTGATCGGCTTTTCTCGTCTCGTCTCGTTTCTGTCATTGTCTCGAATGACTCTTCTCGTCTCGTCATGTCTGTCGTCTCGTTTGTCTCGACTCATTTCGTTTCTTTCATTATCTCGAATGACTTCTCGTCACGTGTCTGTCATTGTCTCGAATAGTCTCCTTTCGTCTCGTCTCGTTTCTCTCGCGTCTCGCGGCATCATTCATTTTGGTATTCACCGTCAGATTTTATTCCCGAGCTATTATCACGTTTATTGTCTGGTCTCCTTTGTTATTGAACCCGCATGTCTGAAATCTCGCATTGGTAGCGTTATTTATAGATTTTAAAACCGGAATAAAAATACTCTCGAGGATCAACAGGTCCGATATTGAGGGGAATAAGAAGCATGATAATCGCAATCATCAGTAGGGTTGAATAAAAAATGTAAACACTTGCGGTTTTGCTCTATTGAAGTAGGCGAAAATCAATCAGGAAGTATTCATGATAATACGCATTTGGTATGCAAACCATATTCAGCATTGTCGAGGGAACACCTGCTTCCAACAGATGTTTTTGTCCGCTGTTCGAAATATTTACTGACTTGGTACTTCATAGTCATGACGTTGCGCACAATTTCACACTGGACACGCGTATTCGCCTACGAGGCACGCGTCCCCCACCCATCCACGGGATTGAGCCCGGTATCGATGCTCCGCGAATGCTATTGTGTGAAACACAAGAGCTTTTGTGATTTAGTCTCATTTATGAAGTGGAGAACATTTCTGAAAATTACGGTTTTACAGCAATTCCGGTTGAATGTGGGATTTTTGGGTCAATTATTCAGTTGAAGTTAGAAACAATGAGGGAAATATACAGGTTTTTATTGATGCCAATTTTTGAGTTTTCTGAAATTTTCAAATTTCACCGATTTTTCGTTGCAAGGGTCAACTTGCCAAAGCGGCCATCGCCCGAGGGCTTTCAGCCAGGGAATGTTGAATGTCGAGTGGGGGTTTTTCACTTGGAAAATCTGTGGAATATTCCATTTGAAAATTGGGTTAAATTTTCAGATGAATATTATGTGGAAATTTGTGTTTTCTGATTTCCAAAAATAATTTCATGATATCGCACTGTTAGAGAATTACTCTTGAAATTTCAAGTGAAAAAGCTTGAAATTTTTAACAACCACAAAGTTACATGAAATTTCTGCAGATTTCTCCATTGACGAATCAGTTAGTTTCTTGAGTAATTTTCAATTTACTCAAGTAATTCTCAATTTTCAGATCCATATGACACTTTTGGCAGCAAATTTTCTGAATTTTCAATCTATTGAAAATTGAATTGTATGTCATGTTTAATTTTCACTATGAGTTTCAAAATTCCTGCTTTCACTGAAAAATCAATGATTGTTTAACATGAAAAACCCTATTTTCTTGAATTTTCAAGATGAATGAGAAATTTAGTGAACGTTTTTATTTGAAATTGAATTCAACCTCATAAAATTGAAAATTCAGATCACGCTGTGACTGAAATTTCAAAAAATCTCTAACACACGGAGAGAAATGTTCAGTAAAAATTACGAAACTCACAATTCGCTCACCGATTACGAAATCGACTCAGAAAATTTAAGTGACGGTATCGTAATTTTTTACAGGAGATTCAGATAAAAATTACGGAAGGCTCTAGAAAAATTCCGTGACAGTTCCGTAAAATTTCCTACAACCACATTTCGCTCCGGAATTACGGAAAAGATACATCATTTTTATTGAATATTTCTCTCTGTGCAGTGTGACAAATCTTGATTTAATGGAAAATCAATACAACTGTGCAATCAGTGGAAATTAATAAAAATCAAGAAAATATGATTATAAAAAATTACTGATGATGTAACGCAATTTTAAGAAATATTTTAGTAAAAAAACCGTGATTTAATTAAAAAATCAAGCAAAACGGCAAAATTTTGTTCAAATATTTAGTTTAAATAAGTGAAAATCCCGACAACTCAGATGAATAAAATCTAGAATTGTTAATACATTGTCAATTGATTTTTTTCCAACAATATAACGCATTCGAGAGCAGGAAAATGTACTCATAACCGACGCAAGTCGGTGTTACATATGCATACAAGTATGATGGATGGTATATTCCACGTGGGATACGTAATGTGCGTGGCAAAAGAGGCAGTACCAAACGGAAGATGATAATAGTGTACAAGTCTTTCAATCTCGTGCTCTTCGTCTCTATGCCTCGTAGGGCGGAAGTACGTAGAGAAATACTCAATTACACCCTGAATCACGCAAGTTGTCTGTCAATGTGCCATATACAATCACAAGAAGCTGAGAGGAAAAAAGTGAACATCGTAAACAAACAAAATGGAACGATTACGTGTGTAACGATTACATGTGTAACTGCGTGGATAATTTCATGTGTCAGTTTAGAGAGATAAAAGTAAAGCGAAGAAATATTCTCCAGCAAGAAGTGCATTCCGTATTTATTAACAACATTGTAATTCTTTATTTAAGAGCCAATGCTGTCAATTCAAGAATGCATTTGTTATCTTAAATTTAAATACGTTCGTTCATTTAAAAAAAATAATAATAATTTTAAATTTTACGGTTAAAAAAATTGAAATGTTATGATTTTTTTTATTTTTCTCGAGTGATGCTGCGAGACAAGACGAGACGAGACATTGTCTCGTCTCGTCCTGTCACGTCTCTCGTCTCGTATTGTCTCGTTTCGTCTTGTCGCGTCTCGTCTCGTATTGTCTCGTCTTGTCTCGTCTCGTATAATATCGTCTTGTCTCGTCTCGTCCTGTCACGTCTCTCGTCTCGTATTGTCTCGTTTCGTCTTGTCGCGTCTCGTCTCGTATTATCTCGTCTTGTCTCGTCTTGTCTCATCGCGTATAATATCGTCTTGTCTCGTCTCGTCCTGTCACGTCTCTCGTCTCGTATTGTCTCGTTTCGTCTTGTCGCGTCTCGTCTCGTATTGTCTCGTCTTGTCTCATCTCGTATAATATCGTCTTGTCTCGTCTCGTCCTGTCACGTCTCTCATCTCGTATTGTCTCGTCTTGTCTCTTCTCTCGTCTTGTCTCGTCTCTCGTCTCGTCCTGTCTCCTTTTGTCTCGTCTCGTCACGTCTCTTGTCTCGTTTCTCTCGTGTCTCGCGGCATCACTATTTTTCCCGAAAATTGTTAATCCTCAATTACGAAATTCTTTGCAATTTGCGCGAACCCATGTGATTAAAATTTCCAAGAAGTGTACCGAAAATTATCACAGATGCATATCTATCGTCTAACGATCCAAAAAAAATAATAACGATTTCACTAGGGCATATGCATACGGTGGCCATTGGCATTCTGTAATCGGCTCTGAGCGCTGACTATCATCATTACCCCCTCCCTCAACCATGAAAGATACCATCAAACTGTCAGTAATAACAGTCACTCCCGTGATATCCCAGTCCCCAACGCATGCATCCCTCTCATTCCTGGCAATTTGGTGTGCGTGTGTCCAATTCCACTCGGACATCTCCACAACCGAGGCATGGAAATTTCCATTGACTCGGAATACAACTCGTATCAGGTTTTAAAGTACAGAGGGTGAGTTTATTAAATTACGGGAAATTATTGGCCGAGGTGACCGAGCCAATCGTCTTAGCATAATTTAATGAGCTAGAACGATAATCTGAGGCTTCTTCCGCTGGTTCTGTACAGATTGGCTCATTATTGAACTGATCCCTTCGTTTCTTACCTGGACATCAAGGATATCCCTCCCCTCGTTCGTGCTTTTTTCTCCATTTTTTACTTGTGAGAAACTCCCTTTTGGTCATTCAAATTATTCAACAATAATTTGTTTGTTATAAATAAATTTAACAATAAAAACACAAACAAAGAACTAAAGGGACATTTCCTCGCCTGGTGACGAATAAGAGAATGGAGAGTAAAACTCAGCATTACCATGAATAACATTCAAATAGAATTAAATGGACATAGCTGGAGCAATCGCCAAAAATAGCACAAAAATACTGTTTAAAGTAGCTCTACCCTTACGGTAAAATTCAATAAAAAGTGTCAATCGTCACGTAAATTCTACGATCTGTTCTGTAAAAATTACTCATCCGTCCGACGCCTCACGGCTAGCGATGAGTCACCGTGAGGGGGAGATTTTAACAACACGTTCCGTAATTTTTCCGGAACTTTTCGTAAAAATTCTTAAACATCCAAGAATTTTCATGTTCTGAGGCATAATAAGTCTTGAAGTTTCTGTTAGATTTTACAACTTCCAGAAAAATTACGTGACTTTTTCGTATTTTTTCGGTGACAGACCCGAAAATTTACTGAACGTTTCAGATTTATTCTCCTATATTCCTATAGAAATTCACTGAAAACGATTCTCGCTTGCGGATCGAATATTTCTCTCCGTGTAATAGAATATGGGCGAGGGATTCTTCCTCATCCATGTTACACACTAAATATGCAGTAAATAAATAACAACAATATAAAACAACTTCACGAAACTCTCATCTTCTACAGATACGACAGCACTTTCATTGCAATTTTCACTATCTGTTTCAGATTCGACAGACGAAGGGATGGCGAAGGTATCAGAGCGGGCGAACGGATCTCCATCAGCAAAGCAAATTAACAAAAATTTCATCCACCGTCAGAAGCACATGACAAGAGGCGATTTAAAAAATTGAGCAGAAAGAATAGCGAAAGTTTACGAAAAATGCTCATCCCTATTTGGAGCCTCATGCAATCAATGAGGAAATGAAAGGAGTAAAAATCCCTCAATTGTGAATGAGAGAGACCATATCGCTATGATAAATAATCATAAATTAGTTCGACTGGCGAATGCATTTTGGTTGAGCTGTCAGAAATGCCATAATAATGACCAAGTTTTAATTTGTGGTTGTACTTAAGTCATACCCTCTACACGATAAGCCTTTTAGCGTTTCTTTATACAAAACAGCAACGCTGGCATTCCATTATCAGAGAGTGTCTCATAGTTTTTGTTTCTTATTCATCCGCATTTCCAGGATATTAAATGATTACAGAGGTCGATCGACTATCGACCCGTCGATCTCTTTCCCTTTTTTTTCCCCTTTACCTCTTTTATTTTCAAAACGTAAATCCCCCATTTACCGTTATGTTAACTTTTCAACCTTAAGGGAAACAGTGTGATACGAACAAAAAATGAATAACATATCCATTAGAGGAATGAACAGCAAGGTTTATGAAGCTTAATACTAGAGGACAACTGAAAAAATAAGAGGAGGATTGAGGGAATCAAGCAAGGCTGACTGATTGAATCCAGTGGTCCCATGGGAATAATTGAATTGTGAGGGATTGTTTCTTCATGGATTTCGATAATTATGGAATGATAAATTGAAGTGGTTCTATCGTTTCAACGAACTGCGCTAATTGCATGAAAAAAAAAACAGAAAAATTTGTAGTTCTTATCAGCATCATCCAAATGACATTTTGCAACTGTTAATATTTTTTGTAACATTATCTTCTCATAAACAAACAAAATATTTTCGTCTTTCTTTGAAAAAGTTGTTGATTTTTTCACATCTACTGAACAAAATTCAGATTTTAGTCTTTGATGGTAATAAAAATGCTGATAATTCTTCGCAGTTTTTGATAATCTCTGAAATAATTGTAACGGTAGAGCGACTTTAAAAACATCGGAATGTGGGATCACGATTATAAAACACTCACGGCCAATATTAATTTCGGTATCCGGGCCTTAGTCTCATTTTTGTGATTATTATAGAGATACATGATTATCATTTAAAGTAGTTTAGGCTAGGCTTTTTTAATTGTATGAATGCAACAGACAACAGCGAGATTAAACTGAAAGTCATGTGGACAGTAACGGCCAGTCGGTGGCATTCCGACATTGTTAGTAATAAAAAAAATGATGAAAATGCGCAATGAAAGTCAAGTGGCCTTATTAAACAATATGGAGGAGTGAATACATTAACAGCGAGATTTTAAATTCATCTGTTCCGCAGCTCCAGAATGAGTATAAGTAGGAGTTAGTACGTGAGAGAGCGAACGCACGTGAGAAAAAGAAAGTTAGAGATTATGGTTTACGATAAGTTTCAAGTTTACTGATTAATGTAATTGTTCGGTTTAAGATATTCAGTTGCATTAGGTAATGAGTTATGATTTTTTTTTTCTTATGACTTTTTTTGGAACGAAGGCACTCGGTCCCCTTTACGATCGAACTCTGTGCGATGTAATTATTCCATGTGAATGGGTATTTCGTGCTCCGATGTTCTCAGGTAGCTCACTATTGCCACGATGACAATATGTAGTTTTGATAATGAGTCTTGTCGATGATTTATTCGTCTGTTCTTGATTTACTGTTCGTTTTTTTTTTTTCTATTTCGTGAAAAACTCTCTGGATCACTGCCATTATTTTTCGAGGTAAACGAATTATTCTTTACTTTGATTTTTTTTTCATCTTCAACTAGCAGTTTTCGTGGTGAAAACGCTCAAAACGTAAGGGTCGAGGATCGATTGTGCCTTCGAAAATTATGATCTTCAAGTGAGTAATTGAATAAAATGAAAAAAAAAGCGGTTGCAAAGAGGAAATGTCCGTTTTTGTGATTTCATGAGCAATTGTTCATTTTTATTTTTTTTTACTTCTATATTGCTTACTTAGAGTAGATTAATGTATTGATTAGAGAATGTTGCAATAAATGACAATGATTCGTATAATTTATGTGATTTTTATTTGATTAATATGATCCCATCCCTTCCGCAGGAAATTACTGTTTTGTTTTCATTGTTATTAATTCACGAGGGAAACGACGTATTCTTTATATTGATTTTTGTTTCATCTTCAACTAGCAGTTTTCGTGGCGAAAACGCTCAAACGTAAGGGTCGAGGATCGATTGTGCCTTCGAAAATTATGATCTTCAAGTGAGTAATTGAATAAAATGAAAAAAAAGCGATTGCAAAGAGGATATGTCCGTTTTTGTGATTTCATGAGCAATTGTGTATTTTTATTTTTTTTTTACTTCTATATTGCTTACTTAGAGTAGATTATTGTATTGATTAGAGAATGTTGCAATAAATGACAATGATTCGTATAATTTATGTGATTTTTATTTGATTAATATGATCCCATCCCTTCCGCAGGAAATTACTGTTTTGTTTTCATTGTTATTAATTCACGAGGGAAACGACGTATTCTTTAATTTGATTTTTGTTTCATCTTCAACTAGCAGTTTTCGTGGTGAAAACGCTCAAACGTAAGGGTCGAGGATCGATTGTGCCTTCGAAAATTATGATCTTCAAGTGAGTAATTGAATAAAATGAAAAAAAAGCGGTTGCAAAGAGGAAATGTCCGTTTTTGTGATTTCATGAGCAATTGTTCATTTTTATTTTTTTTTACTTCTATATTGCTTACTTAGAGTAGATTAATGTATTGATTAGAGAATGTTGCAATAAATGACAATGATTCGTATAATTAATGTGATTTTTATTTGATTACTATGATCCCATCCCTTCCGCAAGAAATTGCTGTTTTGTTTTCATTGTTATTAATTCACGAGGGAAACGACGTATTCTTTATATTGATTTTTGTTTCATCTTCAACTAGCAGTTTTCGTGGCGAAAACGCTCAAACGTAAGGTTCGAGGATCGACCCCCCTGTACCTTCGAAAATTATGATCTTCAAGTGAGTAATTGAATAAAATGAAAAAAAAACGGTTGCAAAGAGGAAATGTCCGTTTTTGTGATTTCATGAGCAATTGTTCATTTTTATTTTTTTTTACTTCTATATTGCTTACTTAGAGTAGATTAATGTATTGATTAGAGAATGTTGTAATAAATGACAATGATTCATTCAATTTAAGTGATTTCTATTCAATTTTTATGATCCCTCCTCCTAGAATTTTTTTTTTCAAAATCATCAACTAGATTTTGTCTACTAATTCTACTCATTTCTACTAATTTTCTTACTAATAGTATTATGCAGTTTTTTCATTCATTTCTCATTATTTCAATTAAAATAGAGACAAAAAAAATTATTTAGTCTTTCATTTTCATAATTTATAGCATATGATGCATGAATTTATTTGTTTTCATCTGAAATGGGGATAAAAATATTGAATTTAAAATGGGAATTATCGCAGAAGTAGATTCTAGAGATGTTCAACAGATAGCGCCAGTATCGCAGCACTACTAAAATTTTCTAAACACCCGTTCCCACCCATTCACACATCAAGCATTACTGCATTAGTATCACATGATCACTTGTCATTGAGCTTTAGCCCGCGGTCTGGCTTTCAACGGTTTCGTCTCCTAGCTCGACGGTATTTTTCTACGATCGAGAAAAACTCGGATACTTCAGAATACCTCCTACAATGGGAAAATACCAGATTAAGGTAATTCATTCTACCTTGACTCCTAAAATAGATCCTCCACCGCTATTTCTCATGCAGTACATGTTGAGCCCACATCAGACATTGAATTTTTTTCGAACGGAACCGACATTCGTGACTATTTCGATTCTAAATTTTTCGTGGTTATGCACTGTTGAAGGGTATAATCGCGAAGTCACCTGTTGTTGACCAACAATTGAATTTAACAATTGTTATCCAAAATTTTACGGTAACTGCACGACCTTTTCCGGTGGCTTCTTTTATCTCATTGTCATTCCGGAGTTTTCAATGAAATGGTGGTTCGTAATATTTAATAACTGTGCATTACTTCCGGTGAAATAATTTTTTTCATGGTAAAAATGGCATTCGAATAAACGGAAATAAATACAGGATTTTAGGTTTGATTCGAGGATGGATTTTTCAATTTATTCTTTCATGGATAAATAAAATTTATTTTGGAATCGAGAGTATTAATTATTGAATAAAAAATGTTTTTTTCTTGAATAGAATGAAATTCATGATATAATTCAAGAATATGGAGTTATAATTGAGAAAACCCTTTGTTAATCGAATAAAAGTTAAAATTGTCAGATCGATGAACTAGAAATTGAGAATATTCTCTCTTGAATAAAAAATATTAATTTCTCAATCGAGCATATTATTCCTTCAGTACTGAATTTTTCTATTCTTCAATTTAAAAAATGCCATATCGTTAGTTCAGCAATAATTCTCAACATGCATTCCTGGAAGCCCTAGTGGTGGTGAGTTGAGAATCAAAAAATTTTTCATACAAGAATCGAATACTCTTCAATCCCGGATTCTAGAAAGAATACCAATTCTCGAATAACTTTCCAAATAGAATAGAATTCATAATTTCTACATTGCTGGATGAAAAATCCTGAAATTCCTAATTCAATAACTTCCTCTCTTGAAAATATAATATTTACCACTAAAAAATTCTGAGGAGTGCATTCATTCTTAAGGGTGCCAAGTGAATTTGAAAAAAGATTCAAAAAAAATTTTTTCTTTCCCTCCATCATTGGAGAAATATGTATTCATCCATCCGACGAAATTTCAAACCCGCAACCGGAACTAGACATCGAGAAAATAAATGCGGAAAATCCTCTATTTCGCGTGACGAA